GTGCCCGAGGTGCTGCACAGATAAAACACAGTACAAACTAAACATAAGAAAATTAACAATCAAAGAAAATCCAATGAAATATTTAGAAAGCCAAGTGCAATATTAAAAACATAAAGGCTGCTTTCAAGCAAGAAATTTCAGGGCAAAATCACTGCAAATAAAGAGACTCCTGTGAGCTTCTTGCTACCAGCATTATCAAATCCATTTAAATACAGCAGATGAAACCTCTGTTCATTTCCTTCTAGCTGGCATCTTCAAAATACTTTCCAAATTTTTTTTTTTTAATATTTCGAGATTGCTTCTGTTTAGTATGCAATTCAGAACATCTAACTTTTTTGATTCCTATGGAGTTATTATAATATGGCCATTTCCAGACAACATCTTTAAAACAGCTGAAGTGACAATATGCCATGTAAGATATGAAATAAGTTACTCTGTTACACAGAGAGAGAGGGAACTGAGACAGAGAGAAGGCTCAGCTTGCAAAGATTAAACAAAGTCTGTGGTAGAAAATCACACTTTGTTTCCAAGTCTTCCAAGTGCCTGACTTATCACCCTGACTAAGCTGCTGTGGATCTTCAGCTGTCACCAAAAGAGGTGAAATTTGTGGGCTGAAACACAAAGAAGGAAACCCCAAATCATGAAATAAATGTGAACATAAAAGCAGGTATATCTAAGAGAATCCATAGAGAGCACAAATATTAAGGATTGATCTGATAAAATCTTCAACTCTTGAATTTGTAAATGGCCTACCCTTTATGTTCTAATTTTTCTTGCATGATTCTTACCTCTTATCACACAAGCTCTCCTAAAACCAGGTTAAGGAATATCTTTGCACTACTGAACAGCATGTAGTCTGCTTGTTAACAAGAAACGAAGCTGGAAGTTAAGTCACTGCTAATTAAACTCATAATTACAAATGGAAGGTCAGACTGCAGATCCAAGGGCTGCTTGATAATGTAATATGACAAAAGAAAGAACAAACTCATGTAATAGTCTAGCCCTCATTTGGCAGACTGATCCATTGAAAGACTCCTCAGCTGCACACAGGTCATATTGCAAATATTAGAATACACATAAATCACTTGGGTTTAAAATAAGACTTGAAAACAGAAATTATTAATTGCTCATTCACAAGTTAGAATGTAGGTTACAGCCCTGCAGTCCAATATCCAGAGTGGCTGCCACCAGCACATTCACATAAATGCTCTCTCCTTAGTTTGTGTATCTCCTCTGCCTGTTTGGGGTTGGGAAATCTGCTGAAGCACACACTGCTGTGCCTGCGAATCTCCACAAATACAGAAAGCATAAAAGGTGACTGCTTTACTGCCTTGGTCCCCTTGTTGTGAGATATGGAACAGGCAAACAAAATAAAGAGAAAATGAGAAGAATGTGAATGGTCAGACAGTTGGCTCAGAAAAGGCTATTAGAAGAGCAAAGGGGAGCAGAAATACATTCACTTACTACTGGAGAATGGAGGGCAGCTTAAGAAAGCTTCCACTCTTTTCACTTATCCTTGATCTTTTAAGGAGCCAAGGATTTTAGTGAGAGTCTCAAACTCTGCATTCTGACTATTCCCCCTGACCTGTCACAGTGGAGTGAGCAACAGACAGCTAAGACACACAAGGGAGCAAGGCAGCATCTTGCACTCTCTCCCCTTTGAAGCCATGAAGCCCATGATGGTTTGGAAAACCCATGGAGAAGTTTTTGTTTTGTCCAAGCACATTTCTTACAAGTGTTCTGGGCACCTGGACAGTGCAGTCCAGTACTTCACTTTTCTGTGAACTACAGACAGATTCTGAAACTCACAGCACGGTTGGAAAGCCTTTGAGAATTACTAGTACCAATTTTTTTTTTTTCCAAAAATTGTTTCTTTCATCAGCAGGCTTTCATCTGACATGCTAATATTAAAAATCTACCTTCCAACAGTTCAACTTTGCTTCAGTGAACATCTTGCCAAGCCCTTTCTATTAAATGTCATCTATGATTTCCATGCCACGCTTGTTTTGTAGTAAAAATTGTGGAGTTAAATATCACTGGGTTGATTGACACCTAGCTATTCAATCAAACATACGCCTGTTCTGCTAGGTGCAGACTGCACATGCAAAAATTGATACTTCTATTAGGTATTTTGCAGAGGGGTTGGGAAGAGAATCAGGCTTGTAATGAAAATTTTAACTATGTTTCATTCATGTTTGGTGCTTCTGCAGCACCAAAGTACTATTTTCTCCCCTGCTAGCAATTTAGCAGCAGCAATAATGAACACCAGAGAACTTTCTTAAGGAGGGAAAGATAACAGAACACTTACTGAGAGGACAGGGGGTTGGTTTCTTAACAATGGAAGTACACACAGATGAATTTGGCACTTCTCAGCTGCTGAGCAAATTTTCAACTATAACTCATTGTGCCTCTTTGGGTGGGAACAAATGGATCTCAAATAAGCATTCTTTTCTGGGTCCGTGAAAGACCTAACACAGGCTAGCTCAGTGGCAAATTTAGAAATGTAAAAATACTCAACATCATACCATGCTGAAGTTAGGTTGTGCTGAGAGAGTAGGGAATAATGCATTCATGTAAGGTAATAACTTACTTTCATGAGAAATATGTTTGTTTTAAACCTGACACTACAACTATGAAAAATGATTCTTCTGAAGATAGGTGACATGAAATATCTTCCCCTAAGTGGCTTAGTTTTGCCAACCAGTCATTAAACCTAAGAGTTTTCTGATAGCAGGCATTTAAGATTACCTGAGGAATGATTTGGGTGCAAAAGCCAAAGCATCCACGATCAATTTAAACACTCCAGACAGTAAGAATAATCCACACTCTGGCCAAAACATCTATAGGAAACTCCTGCCCTTATGGCCAAGCAGCTGGAGCACAAGAAGTGAGCCTTATGGCAATTTAAATAACAGTAAACTTTTCTGACTTGGCACATGAATGAATCTACTGGTGTTTGCAGATCACAGTATAGTGTTTCCTACTTTCTCTATCCCCTCCTTGTACAAGTAGATGCGATTCTTCTGAACTTTGTACGTAGCAGCCACCACTGGGTATAGAAGGGCATATAACCATAATTCTTCAGTGGCTATCTATGAAATGAGAGGGCAGAATGGACTCGGAAAACCCAAGACAACACTGAGCACCTCACCTGCCCAAAATTCTTAATAATTTCAATAAGATGGGAAATCAAATCCTCTTATACATGTTGTAATAGATCAGCCTCAGACACCTCATCCAATGATCTGCATTTCAGCTCATAAATACGTTTGATTGGTTCTATTTTTTTTTTCCTTGCAGATTCTCCTCTGCATTTTATCCCACACTTTCCCTGCTCTGAAATTTGCTGAGTTTTGGCAGGTGCTCAGTAAACCTAACAGACAATTTCTCCTATCATGAAGAAAATAGAACTTACAGAAATCATTTGAAGGTCATTGTTCAAGTTTTTCAGAGAACTATTTCTGTTCTGGGTTACAAGAGCAATTTATTCATTGGGCTTAACCTTAGTCTTCCATCCTCCTAGGATGAGATCTTACAGCAAAGATACTCTGCAGTATTAGTTTTATTCTCTTTAGTTTCTCCTGTTATTTCCAGAAATTACATGCAGATCTTATTTCTTTTACTGTTTAAATCTACTAATTCTAAACAAAATAATAGAAAATTCATTTTAAAACAAAGCTTTTATGATTCTGAGTTGTTCATATTATTATCACAACACTATCTGTATACAAAGCATTATGGTTTTTGCACATTTGCAATGGCAAGTTAAATTGGAAATACTGTGAAACTCATGAGAAAAGTAGAGTTTTTTTGTCCCATGCAGGATAATGAGGCAAAAGCTTTTTTAAGAGCTATCCTCATTTGAATGCTAACAGTGCAACTTAGTGTTTAGGAGCTGTGCATAAAGATTCTACTCTCAGGTTGGCCACTGAAACCACAAATGAGATTGACATAGTAACCGTGTCAATCAGTAGCACCTAAAATCTTTGCATCAGCATATTCTAGGAGAGCCTGTGTTGCAATGCCTGTCTTCTAGACACCTCTCCTCTCAATTGCTGTCAGATCAAACATGAGATACCAGGCTCTAATCCTGTCAGCAGTGAAAGAGGACAATAAATGGCCCTCTCAGTGCTCCATTGGCAATGTGAAGCTAAAAATTTTGTCCATGTTGAAAGAAAACAAGGGAAATTTTGTTTAACTGTTAAATTTTTAAAGAAAAACAAACAAACAAACATAAAAAAAAGCCAACAAACAGTCAGCATCTCTCAGGAGCTGCTCAGAGGCCTGAAAATATTCTCACAGGATATAGATTAGTAGGCAGATGGCAGAGGAAAGAAGTCAAAGGGCAAGATAAATTGGGTTTGTTACAGAAGCTGTAATTTATCATCATAACATTGCCAACACAAATACAGAGATTTATATATAAATTTAATATAACAACTGCTATATTACATCTATTATCCTCGAGTCAGATTTGGTTATCTTATCCTCTGTGCAAAGAAGCCTCTTCCGAAAATAATGCCACTAAACAGGGTCATTTATATTTTAAAATTCTCCTATATTATCTTATATGCAAATAATGGCATAAAGAACAATGTCTATCAAAGTATTAAGAATATAAAATTATATGCTGAAGGTGAAAAGTGAAATAACACATACTTCCCTAGAGGTAGTAGCTTCCTTCTGAAAAAAGAAGAAAAATAGATAGCTGAAGCATTAGGACCTCTAATCAAGAAAGATTCAAAGAAACATGAAAGACTTGCTTCTTGAAAAACATAGAATTAAAATGCCATTGTCCCCTCCATTCATCTAACAAAACTGCTTGGGGAATGTTGGAGTCAATGAAGAGCAGGGAGGGTACAAGAGAGAAGCAGTCACAAATACGAGGACTATTATTTTATTAGAAAGCTATCTCCTTCTTGCAAGAATGACTGCTCAAATGGATAATACATTTCTGTGAAATCCAGGTTTCCAGCTTCATGCTAAGAAGAGGTTCTTACCTTATAGGATTATCCATCCTTGATACTGTGAGAAATGCTGCTAAGTTTGCTGTGTAGGATGAGCACACGATAAGGGTGAAGAGCCACCAGCTTCCCATCACAATGCGCATAGCCACAGAATTGACAGTAGATTCACCCCCTGAAAGCAAACAAGGAAAATAAAGGTGCATCAGGAGCTTCTACCCTGTACGTCCTACTGTGTTCAACTTCGTTGAAGTAACCCATCTGCACTTGTGCTTTCAGACCACCTTTTTTTCTGTGAGCTAAGAGCTACTTCCACTAAGACAGACAGTCAACATCTCGCCCTGGATACTCTTCTAGAAAACGGTATTTCAAAATGTTTCCCTCAGGCATTATTCAGGATCAAACCTAGAGAACATAAATAACATTCTATATAAGTAAAGTTTTATGCTGAAGTACTACTAATATGCAGAAATTAAATCATTAGAGTGCTCAGAACACCTTACTATTGGTTTTAAATGACAGAAAGATAAACTGTCTCACATGAGTTCAAAAACACACAAATTTCTAAAATCAGATTTAAATAATTAGAAAAGCTGCCAGTTGCTGAGTGGCATTGTAATGTCACATCAAGCAGCTCTGAGGTTTATTTACCAAATAATCATTTTCACAAAGTGGAAAAGTCTGTTGGGATTCGTTTTATCAGACCTTCTGAGAAATAGAGAAGTAGAACACACACCCTAAAGCTCAACTATTCTCCCATTATTTCGGCTAACAAAACATATTACCTCCTCATATAAAACTTCTCTTTCATCTTGAGAACATTCTGGTCAAGACTAACATGTCATGAAATGCTCTATCCAAGGCAGAACACTTCTGAAGATCTATCAGACTGAATACCTTGCTGAACAAAAGCGCCGTACACAACCCAGATGGCACTGTGCAGGGTGGAGGAGGCAGAGGGGCTTGACTGGGAGGCATTCTGCGCCCTGACTGCCTGGATCCGGTTCAAGACAAATATCAGGACACCAACTATAGGGATGGCAGCAGCAATACAAGCCCACACCGCAAAGTCAAAAGGAGCAAAGAGAGAGAAGATGTTGATTTTCTCTTCAGGCTTCTTGATCAAGATCCCCACTGAATAGTCCATGTACCGCTTGCTGAAGTCCACAACGCTCTCTCGTTCAGGTGTTATAGTGATGGCAGAAATCGCTAGATCTGCTCTCTGTGAGACAAAGGCAACAGGTCAGATCTCCTTCAGCAACCATGAATTCTGCTATACTCCTTTCAGGAGTTTTTCAAAAAGCAAGCTGCTCCATGCGCTTCTAAAACCTAACATTTTAAGACAACTTGCAATAAATCAGTTTCATCATTCAAATGTTAATTGCATTGGTTTAAAGCAGAAAAGTGAAATGTAAATTGCCAAAGCACTGCAGAACAAGAAGTGTCTGGAATGTGTGCCTTTTATTTAACCTTTATGTCTCACTCATTTTCAAAACAATGTCTAAAACTTGAAACCATATTAACTCAGTGCACTGCAAGAAGTAAAAATGAAACATCAGCCACACAGACCTCACAGTTGTATCAATGCTCCTTTTACTCTATTATCACCACAAGATTACTTTAAAAAATTCCTTACTCCTCCATACAAAATTTATTTAGCTTGTGCACTTGGTAGCAAGTTATGAAGAGCTACAGTTCATTGTTATCCCCGCAGTCTTGTCAACTTCCTGTATTCATGAAGGGATTTCATATGACATCTCGGGGTGGAGGTACTGTTGTTTTTTACAATGAATAAAGTGCTTGCAAAAATTAATAACTGTAAGAATGCGCAAAAGCAAATCAGCTCCTGCTCTGAGCTCAATATTTAAAATGAGCAGGATTTATATACAGAAGGACCTTTAAGATTACGCAAATTCAATGAAAGAGAAGTGTTTAATAAATAAGATCCCCAAAGCTTTTAAGAGCTGCTATTAGATTTTGCCTATTTTTTCATCTCAAAACAGTTCTCTACAAAAAAAAAACAAAAAGCAAAAAACAAAAAAAAAACCAACATACTTTCTGTTTCCTATCTCTGTGCTTTGTTAGGAAAGTAGAGTAAATATTAGGTTAAGGAATTCTCCTTTTGAGCTGGTGGAAAAGCTAGTAGCAGAAATACCACTATAAATAATGTTACCTCAAAGTACGCAATTTCTGAAGAATTTTCACAGGATTTCTTACTAGACTGAAAGTCAAATACCTTACATCAATGCAAAATAAGTCGAAAATCCTTTACTTTTCCTAGCTGCCACCAAGATTATTCCATTATCATATACACATTTGATAGTGCTTTAATTGCTTCTATTTCTTCCTAAGCATCTACTTACCAGACACTGAGACGCCTACTTACTAGATAACGAGAAAGCCTTTATTCCCAGTAACAACTCTACTGCAGAAGAGTAATCTTTTCTACAAAGGGCAGTAACACAGAATATTAACTCCTTTGATTCTTTTTCTTGATTAGCATTTGTCATGTGTCAGACCGTGAGAATGCAAACAAAATACATTCTAATTTGACTCTCCTGGACTTTTCCCACTTAATGAAGTTTAATTCATTTATTCTTGATTTGTAAGACTTGAATTAAATAAGAAAATATTTTCCCCTTTATTTTAAATAAATGAATAATCTCAAACTCAGTTTAGAATGCTAGTCCTTAAAAAAAATTATTTAAAGCATATATTATTTGGGATACTTCCCCTGCTTTGGAGTCAAACAGTTAATCATTATGAAACACACTGCCATAAAGTGACACAAAGAAAGTCATACTTTAAAGCAATGTAGCAAATACATAGCGACAAAAAAAAAGTTAATTCACAGAATCACAGAATTGTAGGGGTTGGAAGGGACCTCCAGAGATCGAGTCCAACCCCCCTGCCAAAGCAGGTTCCCTACAGCAGGTCGCACAGGTAGGCATCCAGGCAGGTCTTGAACATCTCCAGAGAAGGGGACTCCACAACCTCCCTAGGCGGCCTGTTCCAGTGCTCCGCGAATATTCATATGTTAAAAAGACGCACTTTCTGTAGTTATTCATTCACACACACAGAAAATCGCTTTCTTTTTATACTGGCATCTATGTAAACAGACTTACATTTATATAATGTACATTGATAATAGTTGGGGGTAAATAGAACAACAGACTCTATAGTTACTATAGTTTTAAAATACATAGTTCAGACCACAGTCAAAACACCCAAAACTCAGAAGTGTTCTGTACTAGCTCTTTGATCCCAATTCCACCTCCTGTAATTTGCAATGGAGGAAGGGGAGAATTTCAGCAATCCCTTTCCAGAGTCTTGACATCCTACTCTGCAGAGTTGTTGGTTTTTTTCTATTTTTCCCCCAAATATAGCTTCTTCTCTACGTACCTTGTTAATAAGTTCTCCAATCATGCCATTCCAGGAGCCATTCTGAAGCTGGTGTCCATATTTCCCATCAGGAGCTTGATATATCTCATATTTGAAGCCCAGATTCTTGGCCAGTGCATCCAGGACATCAATGGAAAATCCTTTGTAACGTTTTGGTTGCCCAAGTATGTTCTCTGCCACCATCACAAAAGGTTCTTCCTGAGAACAAAACACTGTCTCAGCTGATACTTGAAACAATTTTTTCAGTTTACGTTTTTAGCAAAATCATTTTATTCTGAGTTAATTCTGGACAACTTAGCACACATTTCAGAACATCCTGAGGAAAAATCTGTAGGCTGGGTGGGACACTCACAGGCATTCCTGCCAGACACCATCGCTTCAGGAGCTGTCCCATTCACGGTCCTTGATTTTACACAGTTCACGAGAAGAGGCAGAGACCCCAGAGGATCTTAACTTAACTTCCTCCTGGCATCTGCAGGATGAATTGCTCTCTGGAATACCTGTCTCTTCACTGGCTAATGTTTCAACTAACTGCCTAGAAAACAGGTATTAAGCATACGAGTCTTAGGAACATTACAGCTCTCCAACTCAGATCATATCAGATTTAGAAAGTAATCTTTGATAGACAATGAGTAATCTTTTATCCAGGAGTCAGTGAAGCAGATGCTAAAATTGTTGGTTTTTTAAAATTTTAAAATTTTGAAATAGGAAGATCTTTCAGAGGTGCTGTTTGCTGGCATATTTTATATTGAAGTATATTTTGAGACCAAGGAATGCAGCAGTTTTTTGTACACTTTCTGTCAGAAATGGGAACCTGCTCTCCTGAGAGGCAATGCTGAGGCTGTTGGCTGTATATCCTCTGCAGTTGTCTGCATTAGTGGTGTGGTACTGACAACCTCCTCTGCATGTTATACCATAACCTTGCCTATCAACTGACTCTGGAAAGAAAGCTGGAGTGATTTCTTTAATGATCTCGCACATTACTTCCTATTTGTACCATGATTAAAAAGAAGAAAAACAAAATCACAAAGACACCATATTCTTCAATCTGGGAACTACAATATTTTAGACAGGAATGCATTCTTGTCTTAATTTGTCCATAATTTAGCATTCAACTAATAGGAGCTCTGCTATCACTCGGTATCAGTATACCACTCAGCATACCACTCTTTTCAAAGACAGTTTATCAACAAGAAGTTATGAATTTGATGGAAGAAACACTCAAATTTTATAGCCTGCAGTGCACAAAAGCCAAGATCAGATTATTGTAATTGGCCCACCTGATCTTAAAAATCCATTAAATGCTGGAAACTGCATATCTGAAGTGCAGCCCTGAGTACTCAGGTCTTGTGGTAGTTCTGTGTGCAGTATGAACTTGAATGCAGAAAAACAGCATAAGCAAACAAGCCAATACTGTACATCTCTGACAGTGCATAGATTCACATAAAATAACATAAGGCCATCATCTATGCTCCTTGCTTATGTAACTGATCATCCAAAAATACAAAATTGAAAATGATAGGGAAAAATACTGAAGGAATTGCCCAGAATACTCAGTCACAACCTTTTTATTTTGAGCATTTTGTTTCCTGAACTCAAATAGGATCATACCAAGACAGTCACCACTTTGAGTGTCAGTCCTTGTAAATCACTTCCCAGACGTCGTTCTTGCAGGCTACCATTCAGTCCTTTTTCAGAGTCCCACGTTGCCAACTAGAAGAAGAAAGTGCAGTGAGTCTGAAACATTGGTAGGCAGAAATCCTTCAGCACTTACATAAACATTTAACAGCTGCTTGATTGAATCCAGAACTAACATACAGGATAAGAGAAGTGAGTTTTTTAAGTGCAGAATCAGAATCGGTGAGATTTAGAGAACAGAAACTAATCCTTTGTGTGAATGTATTTTCATTAATGTCTGTAATAAAACTGCTTTATTATCTGCAGTACTTGTCATATTACTTCATCTAGATTATATTGTTTATATTGCCTGACAGTCCTTAGGATTATCTCTACAGTCTCACTATCCCATACTCCTCTCTCACATCAGATCCTCCCCTACTTTTTAAATCATTTTCTAGAGTTCATCAAAGACCAACCTCTTTTCCTGCTGCATGATGTTCTTGTTCACTGGTGGTTATAAAATCTTGACACAGATTCTGTGGAGGCAAAATGCCTTCTATTTTGGGTTGTCTTCAAATTCTATATTAAGTTCTATTTTCTCTCTTCTTGCCCTACTTCTACCTCATCAGTAAAACAATGACAGCCTCTCAAGTTCCCAAGCTCCCATCATCAAATATTTGATAACCTCTGTAAGTACTATGTGCATTTGCTATATGCAAGACATGTATTTTCATGATGCCTCCATAGAACATTACACGTAAATATTTTATTTTTCAATTAAATTTATCACCTCAAAATCAATTTTAGTGCTTTTTCTGGAAAGAGGTTCAACAGAAAAGTCAATCTTAAGTGACCCTTGCATTATTCAACTGAATACGCTCTTCAGTGGCAGCAGAAATCAGACACTCCTTTTAACTCAAAAAAGAATCCATAGTACTCTTAAATCCAGCTGTACTCTTAAACACCAATACTATGTTCACATAGGAGGCAGTGCTGTTTGCTGAAGGCATGCCCTGTAGATATTTAACTTAGTCCAAGATATGTGAAATGTGCCTTCTTCCTGCCAGAAGCTAATTTTCATGTAGCAAGTCAAAATCTACTTGGAAAGAACTTATTTTGCTGTAATTGCCTATGGCTAGATGTCCTACACGATTTATTTCTATGACTTTAGTCATATCCTAAAGCCTCAAAAGTCAAACCAACAAATACACTGTGACAGGAGAGATCTGTATAGGTTTCTTTTTGTTTTGTTGCACTGAAGTGATAAACAGGGAAGTAGAAAAGAACAGGACAATCAGTGATGAGTCAGCTGTCATGTCTACCACAGAGGTAGATTTATTATTATTTATTATACAATTACTCTATAGTCTCTAAATCTTCCAGTTGAGACGCAGGTAAGAAAAGAACTAAAGTTATACCTCCTTTTACCCAGCTGACTTGAGGGATAGAAGAGGAAAATAAATGACTAATAATAAGCTTCCTAATGACACGCCTGAAAGCTGAGTTATCTCAGATTGAAACCCCTCCCTGTGATGTAAGTTTGGAGTTATAATGAATACTCCGCAATATGGGTAGATACTTATAGCCATTGTATATCTTAAATTCAAATTCAGATGCTTGCTCTGAAATATGGCCTCACGTGTTTCTTAGCTTTTTCTATTGCTACACAAAATTAACCAATTTGCCAGCTGCAAAGAATCAGTATGGTTCAACAAATACCAATCTAAGTGCATGTGGTAAACATATTCTCTCAAATCATTAAAGAACGTTGAACTATCTATGCTTTCTTGGACTGTTCTATACAATAATGGTGAAGATACAGAGAAAGTTTCAGTAAAAATGGCTTACACAATCTATAGACAATCACTACTTATTCAAGAATGGAAAATAAAATAAATTGATTACTTCAGCACAGGTGGACTGACATCAATTTCTTCTGTTATTCCTTTCCCCTTCATAAACTATATTTGACTTCGTATTAGGCAAACTATTTGAATACCCTATATTTAGCATTTTGTATTAAAAATAAGAATTCTTAAAAGGAAATGGAAACACACTATTGCAAGACTCTAAGTCTTTTTCTTTCATTCGAAACCGAAGTTTTCTCTTTTTATGCAGTAGAGATAGGTGCAAGGAAGAGAAGCATATTTCACAGTGTATCAGCACAGAACTCCATGGTGTTCTGTACAGAAAAACAATTTTTTCAGTCTCTAAAAGGCAAATGATGCAGATAAATTTGATAGATGGAACATGAGGAAATCCTTTTCCATTAGGGATTTTTCCCCTTAATATCTTTGTGCTTCAGAACATTTCACTTACTTAGAAGTGTGCCAATTTGTGCTTCCACTTACTGCAGACAGAATTTTATTTATGGCACCGATGCATTTACAGATATGTATACCAATTTGTGGCAATTGACCTATCAAGATCAGTGCCTGAGAAACTAATTTCCAGCACTGTTAAACACGATGAGTACTGCCATTATTTGTTAAGACCATTGGAGTTTCACTCTTAGTAGAAATATGCACCACGTTCCTACCAGGACCTGGAACCAAAGGTCATAGAACATCAGCTGGTAGGAGTTGCACAACTTTAAGATCTGATTATCACAAACTACTTGCAAAGTCAGCACTTCCAGGATGTAATTCAAAAATTAGTGGTGTCTGGAAAGTACATTTAATGGCACTCTGAGTGTTCTGGTTTTGTTTTGTTCTTTGACTCTCAAGTTACTGGGTTTTAGGAGTTTAGGATTTGAAAGCAACTACTTCAATAAAGCTTTTCAATTTAAACCTATCTAACTTCTCTTTCTGAAAGAGCCATATTGCTCTTACAACTGCAATCTTACAGTTCTAACCATACATCAGAAGGTCAATCACCCTCTAAAGACAAACCAGAAGAAATAAAGGTGAATTTCAGTCAAAAGTGTAATTTCTTGGAAAATTCTGACTCAAGACAAGATTCTAATCTTTATCAATATTTACTGCGTTTTCAACAAAAACAAATGGAGAAATTCCAAATTTTAACATTATGTTCAAGCCTCCAAAACCATAACCAAAACCATATATAGGTCCAAACACGCTTCCTCAACACCAAAGTGAAATAACTGCATGGCCAGAAAACCTGGGAATGTAAAATGATAAAGGATGTCATCCATGTGTCTCATGAACCTGGGGAATTTTTTCCTGAAAAGTACTGACACCTGTCAGGGCCTTCAAAGAAGACCTGACATAAATATAATTTCAGGTTTCCTGAGTTTCCACTGATAAATTATAAGCCAATTTCTACAACAGAGTTTCATGACACTGTTAATGATGCAGCACCTGGCTGCCCAATGCTTACTTGAGCTTAGTTCCCCAGGGGAAATCATACTGAGATGGCATGGTAAACTTACACCAGACAATATCAGAAACAACTGCACAGAAGCGTGAAGACCCTCATCAGCATAATGAGGCAGACAATCCATTTGCTCAAATAAAGCAAAGTTGCATGCATTTAACACAGATTTGCAAGATTTACTACCTCCTTTGATCGTAATCAATTAGATTGAGAGCCTGTGTGCTTCCTCATTTAGGAGATGAAACTGATGAAAAACTATATGATTTGTCACACAGGTAGGTGTTTGTCTGAAAAATGTGTATTTTCATGCTGCTCTACTACACCATAATTACATACTCCTTGAAAAGTAACTTGAATTTAGTTTTCCTAACTCTGCTGTGAGTGCTCAAACCACTGGACTATGGGAAATTTGTCTAATGCCCAAATAAGCAGAGATGTCATTTATCCTAAACTGGTAGGAAATATAGCTGAAAACTTGCATTAGCATAAAAAGTGAATATTTAATGTTTATCTCACAATAGCACAGAAGACCATTTACATTGTATAAGTTTATGATGCAGTAGTTGCTGTTTATAAATGCATAAATACTGCATGTCACTGCTAGCTACCTCCATTTTAAGTATGACATCCTAGACGCTTCCTCTACTTTTCAAGGAAAATGTGACTCCCAGAAGAAGTAGAAAACAATTCTTTTAAGCACATTTACAGTAGTGTTTGAGAGGGCATCAAACCAGAGCCTGCCTCTTTTACCTTCACAAAAAACTGAAAACTTCTGTCTGGTGACTTTGGAGCTAAAGGTACACCATCCAAACAAATTAGACTTGGGAATCCCTGCCTTGTAACCTCAAGAACTTCTAACAGAGAGAAATGGAAGAGAGAGAACAAGGCAGTCCGTTCTCATGCCCTGAGACAGTGACACCTTAATCAACCCAAATTATACTGTCTATATGAAAGCCATTGTGGCTATGAAATTAAATAAATTAATTAGTGCCACTCACAACATGACAATGCTTTTAGATTAATGTTGAACTGAAATGGATTTCAAGTCACTGGCAATATTTTCTTAAACATAATTTAAATCAAATATGTTGTCCTTGTACCATATTCATATATTTGGCACATTGGAACTTCTGACTAAGAACTTACAAAAATATATTTAATGTTATAAAAGCAGACTTCAAATAAAGACAACAATTGAAATAATAAGAAAATACCGAATCAATACAAACAATTAAAGTTTACAGGCAAATAAAATAAGGCAGTGGCCTAATAAATTAACTGAATAAATTGGACACTCCTATGTTGCAATTCTACTGGAAAAAAAAAAAAGAACTCAATTTAAAAAGTAAGTAGAACAAATATTTACATTTTATCCAAGGAATCTTTTTAAATGCACTGTATCTGTAATCTAGAGATTTGCTGTCATTCAGTATCATTCACAGCAAGATACTAACAGGATTTATACAACAAACTTTCTAAGGATCAGACAGGACTTCCTGGAACATCTTTTCCTTCTCCATGACTGGAGTAGCCTTGCAAAAATTTTTCATGTGAAATACGGAATCATAACCAAGAAAAATTAAACATCTTTTTGAACTGTGTATTTGTATAATCTGTAATTACATAAAATAGGATTAGGAAAATATAAAGGTATTGACACTCTTACAAGCAAATTTGATACAACACTTTTCTATAACGGCTACATATTATAAAGAATATTCAAAAATCTCTATTCTGAAGCACAAGCATTATTAACT